TGAATAAATATACTATCGAGAGTCAACATATAATTTGAATTATTTCCAATGTATATGGAATATGTGTCATTAATTAATAATAGTCTTTTAACATAGTTTCTTGTTGAAAACTTAACCTAAAATATGGTGATGGAGAAGAAGAAAAATATTGAAATTGTTTACATCTATTATACCATAATACAATATGAATATGGTTAATAAATATACTATCGAGACTCATCATATAATTTGAATTATTAGCAATGTATATGAAACCTGTGTAATTAATTAATAGTCTTTTAACTTAGTTTCTTGGTGAAGTAACCTAAAATTTGGTGATGTAATAGAAGAAAAATATTGAAATTGTTTACATCTATTATACCAAAATACACTTTGAATATGGTGAATAAAAATACTATCGAGACTCGTTATATAATTTTAATTATTTCCAATGTATATGGAAGATGTGTCATCAATTAATAGTCTTTTAACTTAGTTTCTTGGTGATGAAGTAACCTAAAATTTGGTGATGGAGAAGAATTAAAATATTGAAATTGTTTAAATCTATTATACCATAATACAATATGAATATGATGAATAAATACACTATTGAGCGTAATTATATAATTTGAGTTATTACCAATATATATGGAATATGTTTCATTAATTAATAGGTTTTTAACTTAGTTTCTTCATGAAGAAGTAACCTAAAATTTGGTGATGAAAAAGAAGAAAAATATTGAAATTGTTTACATCCATAATACCATTATACAATATGAATATGGTGAATAAATATACTATCGAGACTCGTCATATAATTTGAATTATTTCCAATGTATATGGAATATGTGTCATTAATTAATAATAGTCTTTTAACATAGTTTCTTGTTGAAAAATTAACCTAAAATATGGTGATGGAGAAGAAGAAAAATATTGAAATTGTTTACATCTATTATACCATAATACAATATGAATATGGTTAATAAATATACTATCGAGACTCATCATATAATTTGAATTATTAGCAATGTATATGAAACGTGTGTAATTAATTAATATTCTTTTAACTTAGTTTCTTGGTGAAGTAACCTAAAATTTGGTGATGAAATAGAAGAAAAATATTGAAATTATTTACATCTATTATACCATAATACACTATGAGTATGGTGAATAAATATACTATCGAGACTCATTATATAATTTGAATTATTTCCAATGTATATGGAAGACGTGTCATCAATTAAAAGTCTTTTAACTAAGTTTCTTGGTGAAGAATTAACCTAAAATTTAGTGATGGAGAAGAAGAAAAATATTGAAATTGTTTACATCTATTATACCATAATACAATATGAATATGGTGAATAAATATATTATCGAGACTCTTTATATAATTTGAATTATTTCTAATGTATATGGAATATGTGTCATTAATTAATAGTCTTTTAACTTAATTTCTTGGTGATGAAGTAACCTAAAATTTGGTGATGGAGAAGAATAAAAATATTGAAATTGTTTACATCTATTATACCATAATACAATATGAATATGATGAATAAATACACTATTGAGACTAATTATATAATTTGAGTTATTAACAATATATGTGGAATATGTGTCATTAATTAATAGTCTTTTAACTTAGTTTCTTCATGAAGAAGTAACATAAAATTTTGTGATAAAAAAGAAGAAAAATATTGAAATTGTTTACATCCATAATACCATTATACAATATGAATATGGTGAATAAATATACTATCGAGAGTCAACATATAATTTGAATTATTTCCAATGTATATGGAATATGTGTCATTAATTAATAATAGTCTTTTAACATAGTTTCTTGTTGAAAACTTAACCTAAAATATGGTGATGGAGAAGAAGAAAAATATTGAAATTGTTTACATCTATTATACCATAATACAATATGAATATGGTTAATAAATATACTATCGAGACTCATCATATAATTTGAATTATTAGCAATGTATATGAAACGTGTGTAATTAATTAATAGTCTTTTAACATAGTTTCTTGGTGAAGTAACCTAAAATTTGGTGATGTAATAGAAGAAAAATATTGAAATTGTTTACATCTATTATACCAAAATACACTTTGAATATGGTGAATAAAAATACTATCGAGACTCGTTATATAATTTTAATTATTTCCAATGTATATGGAAGATGTGTCATCAATTAATAGTCTTTTAACTTAGTTTCTTGGTGATGAAGTAACCTAAAATTTGGTGATGGAGAAGAATTAAAATATTGAAATTGTTTAAATCTATTATACCATAATACAATATGAATATGATGAATAAATACACTATTGAGCGTAATTATATAATTTGAGTTATTACCAATATATATGGAATATGTTTCATTAATTAATAGGTTTTTAACTTAGTTTCTTCATGAAGAAGTAACCTAAAATTTGGTGATGAAAAAGAAGAAAAATATTGAAATTGTTTACATCCATAATACCATTATACAATATGAATATGGTGAATAAATATACTATCGAGACTCGTCATATAATTTGAATTATTTCCAATGTATATGGAATATGTGTCATTAATTAATAATAGTCTTTTAACATAGTTTCTTGTTGAAAAATTAACCTAAAATATGGTGATGGAGAAGAAGAAAAATATTGAAATTGTTTACATCTATTATACCATAATACAATATGAATATGGTTAATAAATATACTATCGAGACTCATCATATAATTTGAATTATTAGCAATGTATATGAAACGTGTGTAATTAATTAATATTCTTTTAACTTAGTTTCTTGGTGAAGTAACCTAAAATTTGGTGATGAAATAGAAGAAAAATATTGAAATTGTTTACTTCTATTATACCAAAATACACTTTGAATATGGTGAATAAAAATACTATCGAGACTCGTTATATAATTTTAATTATTTCCAATGTATATGGAAGATGTGTCATCAATTAATAGTCTTTTAACTTAGTTTCTTGGTGATGAAGTAAGCTAAAATTTGGTGATGGAGAAGAATTAAAATATTAAAATTGTTTAAATCTATTATACCATAATACAATATGAATATGATGAATAAATACACTATTGAGCGTAATTATATAATTTGAGTTATTACCAATATATATGGAATATGTGTCATTAATTAATAGTCTTTTAACTTAGTTTCTTCATGAAGAAGTAACCTAAAATTTGGTGATGAAAAAGAAGAAAAATATTGAAATTGTTTACATCCATAATACCATTATACAATATGAATATGGTGAATAAATATACTATCGAGACTCATCATATAATTTGAATTATTTCCAATGTATATGGAATATGTGTCATTAATTAATAATAGTCTTTTAACTTAATTTCTTGTTGAAAAATTAACCTAAAATATGGTGATGGAGAAGAAGAAAAATATTGAAATTGTTTACATTTATTATACCATAATACAATATGAATATGGTGAATAAATATACTATCGAGACTCATTATATAATTTGAATTATTAGAAATGTATATGAAACATGTGTCATTAATTAATAGTCTTTTAACTTAGTTTCTTGGTGAAGTAACCTAAAATTTGGTGAGGAAATAGAAGAAAAATATTGAAATTATTTACATCTATTATAACATAATACACTATGAGTATGGTGAATAAATATACTATCGAGACTCATTATATAATTTGAATTATTTCCAATGTATATGGAAGATGTGTCATCAATAAATAGTCTTTTAACTAAGTTTCTTGGTGAAGAATTAACCTAAAATTTAGTGATGGAGAAGAAGAAAAAGATTGAAATTTTTTACATCTATTATACCATAATACAATATGAATATGGTGAATAAATATATTATCGAGACTCTTTATATAATTTGAATTATTTCTAATGTATATGGAATATGTGTCATTAATTAATAGTCTTTTAACTTAGTTTCTTGGTGATGAAGTAACCTAAAATTTGGTGATGGAGAAGAATAAAAATATTGAAATTGTTTACATCTATTATACCATATTACAATATGAATATGATGAATAAATACACTATTGAGACTAATTATATGATTTGAGTTATTAAAAATATATATGGAATATGTTTCATTAATTAATAGGCTTTTAACTTAGTTTCTTCATGAAGAAGTAACCTAAAATTTGGTGATGAAAAAGAAGAAAAATATTGAAATTGTTTACATCCATAATACCATTATACAATATGAATATGGTTAATAAATATACTATCGAGACTCGTCATATAATTTGAATTATTTCCAATGTATATGGAATATCTGTCATTAATTAATAATAGACTTTTAACATAGTTTCTTGTTGAAAAATTAACCTAAAATATGGTGATGGAGAAGAAGAAAAATATTGAAATTGTTTACATCTATTATACCATAATACAATATGAATATGGTTAATAAATATACTATCGAGACTCATCATATAATTTGAATTATTAGCAATGTATATGAAACGTGTGTAATTAATTAATAGTCTTTTAACTTAGTTTCTTGGTGAAGTAACCTAAAATTTGGTGATGAAATAGAAGAAAAATATTGAAATTGTTTACATTTATTATACCAAAATACACTTTGAATATGGTGAATAAAAATACTATCGAGACTCGTTATATAATTTTAATTATTTCCAATGTATATGGAAGATGTGTCATCAATTAATAGTCTTTTACACTACGCCAAAAATGATTTTTTGTATCACCTAATTTAATATCACTTTTAAAAAAAATGCTATTTAAATGGAAAAAACACATTTATAATAGCACTTTTTAATCGGGCGCTATTATATAATACAGACTATGTAATTATGATAGCACTTTGTACCAGAACGCTATTATTAAACTTCTTTAAGATTGCATTTTGTATAAAACGCTATTATTTGACTATCCTCGACATTTCATCCATTTACATTCACTATCCTTCATTCTTGTTCTTCTCATTCCAAATTTCTATATTATTTCTGAATTTCAATTGCTGTGACTGTGATTTTTCAACACAGCAATGCCCACCGCCAAATTATTCATCTCTCTCCTCTGTTTCTCTCTCCTCACTCTCTCCGTCACCGCCCGCCCCTACGTCCTCGTCCTCTCCTAAGAAGACTTCAAAGACGAACCCCCTTCCGATCCCGATTCCTCCCCCGAGTGGGACGAGTTTGGCGACTCCGACTCTCACAAATCCGAAGAGGATCTCGACCCTGGATCATGGCGCCAAATCTTCGAACCAACCTCCACCCAACCGCAACCTCAACCTCAATCCGATACGGAGGATCTCTACTACTCCGCCGTGACCAAGCTTATGACAGGAGACGCGAGGCTAATCGAAGAAGGCTCCGGTGAGATTGAGACGGCTGCAGAGTCTGGTTACCCGACGGCACAATTAGTGTTAGGGTTTTTGTGGGGAATGGGGCTTTTGAGAGAGAGGAGTAAACAGAAAGCATTTGTTTATCATCATTTTGCTTCAGATGGTGGCAATATGCAATCCAAAATGGCTCTTGCTTATACCTACACTCGTCAAGATGTGAGTTCACTTGTTTTTCCTAATATATAAACTTCTATATTCTATTCTATTATAATGTTAGGGTTTTTGATTATGTTGGAATGGTTGTAGATGTTTGATAAATCGGTTAAGCTTTATGCTGAATTAGCAGAAGTGGCTGTCAATGGTTTTCTCATTTCCAAATATTCTCCCGTCATTGAACCTATTAGGCTACACAATGGATCTGAAGAGAACAAAGAGGCACTTAGAAAATCTAAAGCGGAAGAGGATGAGGATTTTCAGATTCTCGAGTATCAGGCACAGAAAGGGAATGCTGCTGCTATGTACAAAGTGGGACTCTTTTACTACTTTGGGCTACGTGGATTGAGGCGTGACCATTCTAAGGCACTTTCGTGGTTCTTGAAGGCAGTGGAGAAGGGAGAGCCTCGCTCCAAGGAGCTTCTCGGAGAGATATATGCCAGGGGAGCCGGTGTTGAGAGGAACTATACAAAAGCCTTTGAATGGCTTACTCTAACATCTAAGCATCACCTCTACTCTGCTTATAATGGGATTGGTTATTTGTATGTCAAAGGCTATGGAGTCGACAACAAAAATTACACTAAAGTATGATCATCTTTGCCTTTTTTGTGTTTGTATGGACTTCAAATTTTTGGGGAATGGAATGGGGACACGCTTTATTGGTGGTATTGTGTGTCTATGTATGTCTATGCTTAATTTATGATATCTTTTTCTGAATTACAGGCAAAAGAGTATTTTGAAAAGGTTGCTGAAAATGACGAGGTTGGTGGCCATTATAACCTAGGTGTCATGTTTCTCAAGGGGATGGGAGTGAAAAGAGATGTGCGGTTGGCATGTAAATATTTTATAGTGGCTGCCAACAATGGTCAACCAAAGGCTTTCTACCAACTTGCAAAGATTTTTCATCTTGGTGTTGGCTTCAAGAAGAACGTTCCATTGGTAAGTTGATTCTTCGTTTGTCTTATTTTTAAATGTAAGTGCTGATGAAAAACTGTTGATTAATTTAGGTAAGAGCCCAATGTCAATATGATTCTCTCCTGTGTTTTATATTAATTTTAATATAACATGTTTTACTAGGCACAATAAGGGTAAATTATCTAATGTCACTGTAGTCATGTTATATAGTTTGAGATGACTGGACTGACCTAAATATTCATTCTTCAATGCTGCTGAATCTTACTTTGATGTATTTTGGAAGCTTGATATAGAAGACTGTAATCGATTGAAAAGCTTAGATCATTATTTGGGATTCATGATTATGACAAAAGTATTCTATTGACTTTGTTCAAGACACAGGACTTTATTTACATACAAATTGAAATGATTACTACCATACCGCCCAGAATAGTCAATAGCCGCGCTATAGCGGGATAGAGGAGGCCAGACACTATGGGAAGAACCATAGCTGTGCAGAACACTATAGTGGCCACTATAGGGTAACTAGCGGAGCAGAGCCGTTTCTGGCCCGCTATCCTTTTCCCCCCTGGAAAACTAAATTACCCCTTAAATTTAAAACGTTTCAAGGGTAATTTTAGGATTTTCAATCAAATTAAAACTTGTTGATGTTAATTAAGAACTTCAATTAAAACTTGTTGGTATTTTAATGTTTTTTTATTAAGCTTTGTGCTTTGATTTATGAATATTTTATGGGTTGAGTTATTTTTTTTTACACTAAATATGTACTTAGAATTATTATATGTAATTTGTCCAAAAAGGATCAAAAAACGGTCATCCCGCTATCCCACATCTGGGGCCGACCGCCCTGCGCCGCTATCCGGGATCGACTACTGTGATACCACCTTAACAAAGAGGTTGTAGGACGAAATCTTCCTTATTGCTTTTTTGATAATACCTAATTTATATAATATAGGCTGAAACTACCATAGTTTTCTAAAATATAGAGTCATTAGGAAACTGTTAGATCCAAATATGAAGATGAATTTCAAAGCCGATTGATAAGTAGCTTAAACCAAAAGCCTAAGATCTAAAATGTTTATACTAGAAGAAATAGAAAGCACCCAAGTGGTCCTGACAGGAGAAATTGAGCAGCTAATCAACTACTAGTCTGAAAGGGATACCAACTACTTGTGTTAGAATGCTTGTAGATTCCATGCTATTTATAATTTTTTAGTAGTTTCTGATCTTTACATTATTGATGACATAGGGTATAATATTTCAATAATCAATTTGTTTTTTTTGTAAAATGGGACATATTGTTGACATAACTGATTAGTCCCGGGTACCTTGAATTTTTCTTGTATCCCTGTCATACATCCTCTTTAAGTGGCTGATAGACCCATTGTTCAATTTTATAAGAGGAGATGACAAGAAAATGTAGAAGATGTCCTAATTAGGAATGATGGGATGAACGATTGTGGTCAGCCCATGTTTGGGCAAGGGAAAGGCCTTTCGTTAGGTAAGAAGGATGGAGTAATGGGGAACAAAGGGAATGTAACAGAACTAACACGTGGCAGCACATGAGAGAAGGGAAATAAGTGTGAATTGTGTGTGGGAGGAGCGATAGGAAATGTGGAATGATTAGTTTAAGGACAGTTGTAACAGAATGGTAGTAAGCAGGATTCCACTGGGGACTGCTGTAATGTTGAGTTGAGGCCTCTCTGACACATGGCAGCGCAGGAGAAGAGGAAACTATGCTTGAAACTTGTGTGGGGAATCATTGGGGACTGCTGTGAAGTAGAGCTGAGGTCTCTCCGTCTTGTGAAGCTTTCTTGCCATTGTTTGTTTCTATTTCCTTCTGCAAGGAGCTTGTCTCCATTTCCATTGCTATTTCACTAGTCTTAATACATCCACAACACTCTTTTTTATCAGAGTACTGACCCATCGTGTAATTCTGCCTATTGATGATATACCTGGTTCCTATCTGTGGTTTTTTTGTACAAGGTTACTGACTCCCTTTCCCATGCGTGCGTGCACACAGTCTACAGTCGACGCCACTTAAGATTATGTGCAATGATAGGGCCAAAGATAATTTAGATTGGACCTGGACCCAGTAGGAAACGGCCCAAAGATCTGGAGAATTTACACTCCAAGGAAAGGGGTGAGTGTCTGAGCTGGCAGATTGAGAATGCTAAGAAGAGGGTAGTTGCATGAAACATGAGTTACATGTATCATTAGGCTAGGTGCTGGGAAATGGAGACATATTTTGGAAATTAGTAAGTTGTTATGAATGGAGAAGCCTAGCCTATGATGTTTGGATACATAGCACGAGTGCGGGTGCGATACGGTTACTTGGAACTTTTGATATTTTGGATACGGTGCGGCCTAGATACATTGACAAAATTTATAGAAAAATATGTAGAATACTACTTAAAAAAAAGGCATTGATCATTCTTCATTGATGTATAACTATAATGGTCACAATTTTCATAATATATTTTAACCTCTATGTTTGGATGTCACAAAATCACTATTAAAAGAACTAAAATAAGTTTTGACTCTATGCAATTGTAAACAATTTATAAGCTTCTTTAATAATTTTTTTGTCTAATGCTAACTGATTCAGTCTCTTCTCCCCTATTGCCATCATCATAAAAAGCATGGCTTTTAAGTTTGGTTCATTTAGAAACAATTCTGCCAATTCAAGAAGTTCATTGATATATTGTATGTGTTTCCTCTGGTTTGTATCACATCATCCATTAGAATATAATTATGATGGGGTCATTATTGAATATGAGTGCCATCCCTATTGATTATTATATCAAAATACAAGTCTCTTCCAACAATTTTATGTGCTAACAAGTTTGAACTTGTGGTCTTAGGCTACTGCCTTATACAAATTAGTTGCGGAACGAGGTCCATGGAGCTCTTTGTCCAGATGGGCACTGGAAGCATACTTAAAAGGTGATGTTGGCAAGTCATATATGTTGTATTCAAGAATGGCCGAGATGGGCTATGAGGTGGCACAAAGTAATGCTGCTTGGATTCTTGATAAATATGGAGAACGAAGCATGTGCATGGGTGAATCTGGACTTTGCACTGATGCAGAAAGGCATCAGCGGGCACATTCTTTGTGGTGGCAAGCTTCTGAGCAGGGTAACGAACATGCTGCTTTACTAATTGGAGACGCATATTACTATGGCAGGGTATGTGATTTTGAAATGAATTAAGCATGTGTGTGCTTTGAACTTTCAATTTAAGACATGGTGCACTCTTTACCTATAACCTAACTTCATTTTGTTGTGTTTCTCTCTCTTTTATCTCAGGGAACTGTCAGGGATTATGACCAAGCTGCTGAGGCTTACGTGCATGCCAAATCGCAATCTAATGCACATGCCATGTTTAATCTTGGGTACATGCATGAGCATGGCCAAGGACTTCCCCTTGACCTTCATCTAGCCAAGCGTTACTATGATGAAGCTTTAGTGCATGATCCTGCAGCTAAGTTGCCAGTTACACTGGCACTTACAAGCCTGTGGGTTCGGATGAACCATGCTGACAGTATATTGGTGAGTTTCTTTGGCTTACCTGCTGCAATACTGCATGTGCATAGTAACAACCAGTAAGTGATAGTTGACTATGTTCAAATGTAATGATACTTTTCATGTTGCTGTCTTGGTTACCTGATGTAATTTTTGTTCATTTAGGTCGTAGGTGGAGATATGATATTCTGTCTCAATTGCTTAATGATCTATTTAAATGGCTAATCAAACACTTCACACTTCTGTAGCTTAACTTGTATTTTTGATATGTGAATGTTCTAGGGACATATGGTTTTGGGGTATGTTCTAGGGACATATTACCACGCCAAAATCGCCCCACACAAATGGATTTTGAAAAATTGTATGGCTTTTGTAATTCACTCAAAAGTAGATGGAGGTGCTAGAGAGAGAAAAGATTGAGAGAGATAAGTTGGATAGAGAGAAGCTAGAGAGGCAACAAACTGAAGAAGTGGAAGAAAGGCAACAACCTAAACAAGTGTCAGAGAGGTTGCAACAACCTGAAAAAGTGGCACAGAGGCAACACCTTGAACAAGTGGTAGAAAGGAAACAATTGTCGTACCTACTCTCATGATAAGTTAACTGAGGTTAAGGAGGATTGGGCTACTTATGTGGTGGACGATGTTTTCGGTGAGTTTTTCCTTGACTTGATACTTGATAAACAAGACAAATATTACTCATGGATTTAGAGTTCAAATGTTTTGACTTAGATGTTTAATTTTAATTTTTGAGTTGGATTTAGAGTTGTCGTATAAATGATTTTAGTATTTTATTAGTTTTTATTGTACAATACATAATCAATATTCCTTCTATGATACAGGAAAACAAGAAGCAATTATTTTGCCTAATTAGTGATTGTATCTATGAGTTCAACGCTTTTGTATCATGAAGGTGGTTACTACATGGGATTGTTTTGTTATCCTTTCTTATTTTTTTGGTGTTTTGTTTAGAGAATTTGATTGTATGTTTTTGGATTTGGATTGAAGTACTCATAGACGGGCATCTACAAATTTGGCTATGCAAACGCCCTCTTAATATTCTATATGTTATGATATTTGGAAACAATAGGATTTGGTAATTTAAAATGTTATTTGGTATTTGATGGATCATAATATATATGCAATGAGTAACTTAAAGCGTTATTTGTGTTGAATTGAATATAATTTTATATTTACACCAAAAAAAATGATTGTGTAAGAAAAAATATTATACTGTACTTATTAAAAATATTGTACCAAATATGTACCATTTATTAGCACTTTATTTGAAAGCGCTATCAAACATATGTTATATATTAGCGCTTTTTGTTTAGAGTGCTATAAAAAAACAAACAAAAAACATACAAAATACTGACTTTGATAGCACTTTAATTAAAACGCTATTATAAATTGGTACTTTAATAGCGCTTTTAAAGTGCTATTAAATAAGAAATGTTTACAATAGTGGCGCGGTTAATAGCACTTTTAAGCGCTATCAAAAACAAAAAAAGCGCTATTAAATAGCTTATTTGGCGTAGTGTTAACTTAGTTTCTTGGTGATGAAGTAACCTAAAATTTGGTGATGGAGAAGAATTAAAATATTGAAATTGTTTAAATCTATTATACCATAATACAATATGAATATGATGAATAAATACACTATTGAGCGTAATTATATAATTTGAGTTATTACCAATATATATGGAATATGTGTCATTAATTAATAGTCTTTTAACTTAGTTTCTTGGTGATGAAGTAACCTAAAATTTGGTGATGGAGAAGAATAAAAATATTGAAATTGTTTACATCTATTATACCATAATACAATATGAATATGATGAATAAATACACTATTGAGACAAATTATATAATTTGAGTTATTAAAAACATATATGGAATATGTGTCATTAATTAATAGTCTTTTAACTTAGTTTCTTCATGAAGAAGTAACCTAAAATTTGGTGATGAATAAGAAGAAAAATATTAAAATTGTTTACATCTATAATACCATTATACAATATGAATATGGTGAATAAATATACTATCGAGACTCGTCATATAATTTGAATTATTTCCAATGTATATGGAATATGTGTCATTAATTAATAATAGTCTTTTAGCATAGTTTCTTGTTGAAAAATTAACCTAAAATATGGTGATGGAGAAGAAGAAAAATATTGAAATTGTTTACATCTATTATACCATAATACAATATGAATATGGTTAATAAATATACTTTCGAGACTCATTATATAATTTGAATTATTAGCAATGTATATGTATATAAAAATATGTATACAATAGAATATGTATATAATAGAATATGTATATAAAAATTAACCTAAAATTTGGTGATGAAATAGAAGAAACATATTGAAATTGTTTACATCTATTATACCATAATACACTATGAATATGGTGAATAAATATACTATCGAGACTCATTATATAATTTGAATTATTTCCAATGTATATGGAAGACGTGTCATCAATTAATAGTCTTTTAACTATGTTTCTTGGTGAAGAAGTAACCTAATATTTAGTGATGGAGAAGAAGAAAAATATTGAAATTGTTTACATCTATTATACCATAATACAATATGAATATGGTGAATAAATATACTATCGAGACTCGTTATATAATTTGAATTATTTCCAATGTATATGGAAGATGTGTCATCAATTAATAGTCTTTTAACTAAGTTTTTTGGTGAAGAAGTAACCTTAAATTTAGTGATGGAGAAGAAGAAAAATATTGAAATTGTTTACATCTATTATACCATAATACAATATGAATATCGTGAATAAATATATCATCGAGACTCTTTATATAATTTGAATTATTTCTAATGTATATGGAATATGTGTCATTAATTAATAGTCTTTTAACTTAGTTTCTTGGTGATGAAGTAACCTAAAATTTGGTGATGGAGAAGAATAAAAATATTGAAATTGTTTACATCTATTATACCATAATACAATATGAATATGATTAATAAATACACTATTGAGACTAATTATATAATTTGAGTTATTAACAATATATGTGGAATATGTGTCATTAATTAATAGTCTTTTAACTAAGTTTCTTGGTGAACAAGTAACCTAAAATTTAGTGATGGAGTAGAAGAAAAATATTGAAATTGTTTACATCTATTATACAATAATACAATATGAATATGGTGAATAAATATATTATTGAGACTCTTTATATAATTTGAATTATTTCTAATGTATATGGAATATGTGTCATTAATTTATAGTCTTTTAACTTAGTTTCTTGTTTAAAAATTAACCTAAAATATGGTGATGGAGAAGAAGAAAAATATTGAAATTGTTTACATCTATTATACCATAATACAATATGAATATGGTGAATAAATATACTATCGAGACTCATTATATAATTTGAATTATTAGCAATGTATCTGAAACATGTGTCGTTAATTAATAGTCTTTTAACTTAGTTTCTTGGTGAAGTAACCTAAAATTTGGTGATGAAATAGAAGAAAAATATTGAAATTGTTTACATCTATTATACCATAATACACTAAGAATATGGTGAATAAATATACTATCGAGACTCAATATATAATTTGAATTATTTCCAATGTATATGGAAGATGTGTCATCAATTAATAGTCTTTTGACTAAGTTTCTTGGTGAAAAAGTCACCTAAAATTTAGTGATGGAGAAGAAGAAAAATATTGAAATTGTTTACATCTATTATACCATAATACAATATGAATATGGTGAATAAATATACTATCGAGACTCATTATATAATTTGAATTATTAGCAATGTATATCAAACATGTGTCATTAATTAATAGTCTTTTAACTTAGTTTCTTGGTGAAGTAACCTAAAATTTGGTGATGAAATAGAAGAAAAATATTGAAATTGTTTACATCTATTATAACATAATACACTATGAATATGGTGAATAAATATACTATCGAGACTCATTATATAATTTGAATTATTTCCAATGTATATGGAAGATGTGTCATTAATTAATAGTCTTTTAACTAAGTTTCTTGGTGAAGAAGTAACCTAAAATTTAGTGATGGAGAAGAAGAAAAATATTGAATTTGTTTACATCTACTATACAATAATACAATATGAATATAGTGAATAAATATATTATCGAGACTCTTTATATAATTTGAATTATTTCTAATGTATATGGAATATGTGTCATTAATTAATAGTCTTTTAACTTAGTTTCTTGTTTAAAAATTAACCTAAAATATGGTGATGGGGAAGAAGAAAAATATTGAAATTGTTTACATCTATTATACCATAATACAATATGAATATGGTGAATAAATATACTATCGAGACTCATTATATAATTTGAATTATTAGCAATGTATATGAAACATCTGTCATTAATTAATAGTCTTTTAACTTAGTTTCTTGGTGAAGTAACCTAAAATTTGGTGATTAAATAGAAGAAAAATATTGAAATTGTTTACATCTATTATACCATAATACACTATGAATATGGTGAATAAATATACTATCGAGACTCATTATATAATTTGAATTATTTCCAATGTATATGGAAGATGTGTCATCAATTAATAGTCTTTTAACTAAGTTTCTTGGTGAAGAAGTAACCTAAAATTTAGTGATGGAGAAGAAGAAAAATATTGAAATTGTTTACATCTATTATACAATAATACAATATGAATATGGTGAATAAATATATTTTCGAGACTCTTTATATAATTTGAATTATTTCTAATGTATATGGAATATGTGTCATTAATTAATAGTCTTTTAACTTAGTTTCTTGGTGATGAAGTAACCTAAAATTTGGTGATGGAGAAGAATAAAAATACTGAAATTGTTTACATCTATTATACCATAATACAATATGAATATGATGAATAAATACACTATTGAGACTAATTATATAATTTGAGTTATAAACAATATATATGGAATATGTGTCATTAATTAATAGTCTTTTAACTTAGTTTCTTCATGAAGAAGTAACCTAAAATTTGGTGATGAAACAGAAGAAAAATATTGAAATTGTTTACATCCATAATACCATTATACAATAGGAATATGGTGAATAAGTATACTATCGAGACTCATCATATATATTGAATTATTTCCAATGTATATGGAATATGTGTCATTAATTAATAATAGTCTTTTAACATAGTTTCTTGTTGAAAAATTAACCTAAAATATGGTGATGGAGAAGAAGAAAAATATTGAAATTGTTTACATCTATTATACCATAATACAATATAAATATGGTTAATAAATATACTATCGAAACTCATCATATAATTTGAATTATTAGCAATGTATATGAAACATGTGTCATTAATTAATAGTCTTTTAACTTAGTTTCTTGGTAAAGTAACCTAAATTTGGTGATGAAACAGAAGAAAAATATTGAAACTCTTTACATCTATTATACCAAAATACACTTTGAATATGGTGAATAAATATACTATCGAGACTCGTTATATAATTTGATTTATTTCCAATGTATATGGAAGATGTGTCATCAATTAATAGTCTTTTAACTTAGTTTCTTCGTGATGAAGTAACCTAAAATTTGGTGATGGAGAAGAAGAAAAATATTGAAATTGTTTACATCAATTATACAATAATACAATATGAATATGGTGAATAAATATATTATCGAGACTCTTTATATAATTTGAATTATTAGCAATGTATATCAAACATGTGTCATTAATTAGTATTCTTTTAACTTAGTTTCTTGGTGATGAAGTAACCTATAATTTGGTGATGGAGAAGAATAAAAATATTGAAATTATTTACATCTATTATACCATAATACAATATGAATATGATGAATAAATACACTATTGAGACTAATT